GCATTTTGAACAACAAAACCAGCAAGCTCTGACAGGGCCAGGAGACCCAGGCAAGAGTGAATGGACAGAGGGGCTGCAGGGTCCCACAGGCAGGGCACGCTCCTGCCCAGCCACATCCAGAGTGGCACTGCCCTTGCTGCTGCTGCACCACCCCTCTGGCAGCCTGATCGGGGTTATGTCACCTTTCCTGACTGCTCTTTCCCCCGATCAAGTGAGGTTGCTGCTCCAGCTCCCTGCAAGGAGCAGCCGGAGCAGCCTTTCCTGAGCTGCCCAGAGGGACACAGCCAGCCCCAGCATCCGAGGCAGCTGAGCAGCAGATCCTGCCCCACTGCCACCCCCGGGGAGCTGTGCTGGCAGAGCTGGCACCCAGGACATGGCACCAAGCCCCGGTGGGAGGCTGCAGGCCCTTGGCCAGGGAAGGAGATGGTTGGATCATGGGTTCTTCCTGCAGGGAGCAACTGGTGGGTGAAGCCTGGAGCACCCACTCACACGTGGGAGCAGACACAGGGGATAACACACTGCACCAGTGCTTTATGCACCTAACTCAAAATAAGCTTTCTTTTTAAAAAACATATCTAAGAAGAATGATTTTTCTCTCTTTTTTTTTTTTGTTATTATTTTGAAGTTATAAATTATTGAAACAAATTATTCTCACTACTCTCCCAAATCATTCTCAGGCAAAGAAAAGGCAGCTCTACCTTCAACACTGCTTTGTAACAAAATGAGTCAGATTCATTTTGCTCATGATTTGCCCTTGGCTCCCTTTGTCCATGTCTTAAACTACATCCTGGCTCGGTCTGATTAGCAGCGTGTCCTCGGAGGCAGAGGAGGCCCTACAAGAGCCCGAGGTATTGCAGGTCAAGATTAAAGTGCTCTGCATGACATTCACTGTCAAAGCTGTAACTGGCTTAACTCAGTGCAATTAGATGGCTCAGAGGTTACACAGTAACGGCAGCAGTGTTTCAGTGCAGCTGATTAAAACACAGCCCTGGTGTTAAAGGATGTGATTAAAAGGCAGTGTCAGGGCTGAGACCTGGCAGAAGAGCTCAGCAGGCAGGGTTAAATCCACAGCTTCTTCTGGGGTTGGACACCCCAGGGCCTGGAAAAGATCTCCAAGTATCAGCTGAGCCAGCTCAGCTTTTAGGTCTGGAATGCCATCTTGTGATGGCAGTGGGGAAGTGGAAATGGCCCCTCTGTGGAGGCAGAGGAGATGATGGAAATACAGAATGGGTTGGGTCAGAAGAGACCATAAAAATAATTTTATTCCTCCCCCTGCAGTGGCAGGGACACATCCCACTGTCCCAGGCTGCTCCCAGCCCCAATGTCCAGCCTGGCCATGGGCACTGCCAGGGATCCAGGGGCAGCCACAGCTGCTCTGGGCACCCTGCCAGGGCCTGCCCACCCTCACAGGGAACAATTCCTGATTCCCAATCCCCCATCCATCCCTGCTCCTGGCAGTGGGAGCCATTCCCTGTGTCCTGTCCCTCCATCCCTTGTCCCCAGTCCCTCTCCAGCTCTCCTGGAGCCCCTTTAGGCCCTGGAAGGGCCTCTGAGCTCTCCCTGGAGCCTTCTTTTGTCCAGATGAGCACCCCCAGCTCTGCCAGCCTGGCTCCAGAGGGGCTCCAGCCCTGGGAGCATCTCCATGGCCTCTCTGGACTTGCTCCAACAGCTCCATATCCTTCTGATGCTGGAGCAGCTCTGCAAGGGTATCTCACAAGGGCAGAATAGAGGGGGACCATCCCCCCCTCACCTGCTGCCCACTCCTCTGTGGGTGCAGCCCAGCACAGGGGAGTTTCTGGGCTGCCACTGTTGGCTCATGTCCAGCTTTTCATCCATGATATTCTCCAAGCCCTTCTTTGCTGGTCAATGAGCTCTTCTCCCAGTCTGTGCTCATGTGTGGGGTATCCCTGACCTGGGTGCAGCACCTCAAAGAGGAAAAGGCACCATCGAGGCCATGGCTGCCCTGCCTTCTGCTGTGTGGGAGCCAAGCAAGGCTGGTGTCACTCACAGGGCAGTGCAAGCACCAACACCCATGAGGTGTCATCATCACAGGCCCCAGCCATGACAGACACCAGGGGGATAAAAGTTCTTCTCACCAAAGCCTGAACGTGCTTGGCTGTGGGGCTGGAGGTGACCACCATGGTAAATGATGATGTACATCCACAGATCTTTTCTTCCATAGGTTTACTGAATTTTCTTCCTCTTCCCACGGTACTACTCTGTCTTTTTCTCCAGTGACTGACAGTGTGGCCAAATGGTGTTGAGCCAAAATCTGATTGGTACAGAAGGATCACAGTACCAGCCCTGCAGTGCCAGAGCTGAGCAGTGACGGGGGGCAGGCAGTGAGCCCTGGGCACGGGTGTGTTCAGGGCTGAGGTGACAGTAAAGGATCTCTCTTGCTGCCACAGGAGCTGCAGACATCAGCTACATGGGGGATGTCCCACCCCAGGCTTGGAGCACACGTCTTTTGAAGCACTACAGCTCCATGCCAGTGCAGATCTCTTGAGTGGATGCACTGTGCCAGCAGACAGTGCTCATGTCCTGGTTTAACCCATCCTGCTAATTTATGGGAGCAAAATCACTCAGATGTGATTCCTCCTTTATGCTGCAACTGAACATTCACTTGACAGAGGTTACCCAGGCTTCTGGAGCCAGTTGAGTTGCTTTGAACACAAGCTGCAGGGCTGTGCTGGGATGCAGGGAGCTCAGGGGAGGCTGTGTCTAGACTAGAGGAACTCTCCAGGAGGCTTGCTGGGCTTTTGTTTTGTAGTAACTCTTATCTCTAATCTGGCTTGGAACAAAACATCTCAATCCTTTCAGGCCCTGCCACCACACTTGCAGGAGAAAAGGAGGCTCTGTTTAGTGGTCAGCAAGCCAAGATGAACAACAGGGACTGGCTGCAGCTAATGCAGAGAGCACATTCCTGTGACAGAAAAGGGCTTCACCCCTATGGCAGAGCTGCTCTGCTGTGTTTCATCTGGTTTGATGCTTTTCACCCAAAGTTCACAAATGATGTGCAGGCCTTTGTTTGAGCCCCCATCCAAGGCCAGCAAGCAGAGAAAAAGCTGTGCACACAGAGGGAATCTGTACTGGGAAGTGAGAGACTGGTCCTGGCACTGAGAGTTGCTGAGTTCTGGTATTTGGCATTCAGGAAGCTTTTGAAGTATCCCCCCAATCCTGATGAAAATGTCTTATTAAAGAGACAAAGCATATTAATTTGGGCCCCATGCTGGGCTAATGAATTAAACAGTTCCAAACTGAACCTGTGGCTTAGGGTCTTGGCAGAGACATCATCCATGCCTGTGTGGGCACGTGCCCTTGGCCATGGGCAGCGAGACCCCCAGGAACAAGAGTATGAAGTGTTCTGTGTCTGCTCTTACCTGTCTCTCCCCCAGACAGGTTTTGCTGTGCTGCACTGGGCATAGCTGGGAAACCTGTTCCTCACCAGGTTCATCACTGACGGGGGAAGCACCGAGCTCCTTCTGCTCAGCACCAGCCTCTGTCCCTGCACACAGCAGTGTCCTGGGCACAACGAGCCCAGAGCTTCCCAGGACAAGGCAGGATCAGGCTGAGCTGGAGAGGAGCACCCCACATCCAGGAAGAATAGCTGCCTGCCTTGGGCTGAAAATAGACCATGAAACATTTGAAGAAGACAGAGCTGGAGTGGATGATTGCCTGAGGCAAGGCGCAGCTCCAGCTGAGTTCACTGCTGAGCTCTGAGAGCATAAGCACATGAGGAGCATGGGGGAGGGATGCCAGGCTTTCTGGAAAGGCCTTCAAGTGTCGCAATGGAGCACAAAGCCCAGAGAAAAACTTCCTTTGAATGGATCCCCAGAGAGGGAGTTACTGTTACACTGCTGTGCCCAGACATGGATACACAGAGCACTGGGCTGATGTTACAGCATCCAGTGGAGGTCAGGGAAGGCGTGGAATTGTGCTTCTCCAGCAAGGCACTTGGCAGCACCACAGCTTTTTCTCTGCTTATTTCAGGGCTGGATTTTTGTTGCCGGCAGCTGTTTCTGAGCTGACACTTCTACCTCCTGTGCCCGAAGTGGGATACATCAGGGGCAAGCAGAGGCAGCTCACCAGCCCGCTGCTTCCCATGAGCCGGTGCTTGAGTTCAGTTCTCCCAGCTCCACAGATCGTGTTTCCTGCTCCGGCTCTGTCAGGGATGCTGGAAGTGTCCAAGGCCAGGTCGGACAGGGACTGGAGGAACCTGGGACAGTGGAAGGTGTACATGCCCATGGCAGGGAGTGGGACGAGAGGATCTTTAAAGTCCCTCCCTGTGAGTGATTACCGAGGGTTTTTCCCCGCCCTGGAGGGAGCGGCCGAAGCGAGCGGGGCGGTGTCTGTGGAATCACCTCGGCAGCGTGGCCCGACCGGCTCCTCTTCTGCCCCCGCCGCCGCGTGGAGATGAGGTGGTTGTGGGGGGCTGGGCTTCTTCAGCTCGCCGCCATGAGGGCCAGGAGCGGCTCTGGCGGGCCGGGCTCCCTCGCTCTGAGGGCAAGGAGTGGCTCTGGCGGGCTGGGCTTATTCAGCTCGCCGCCATGAGGGCCAGGAGCAGCTCTGGAGGGCCGAGCTCCCTCGCCCTGAGGGGCCACCGCCGCCATGAGGTGAGGGGGGTACAGAGCACGGGTGGCGGCGGCAGCGGGGCTAGAGACCGGGGCTCGGGGGCAGGAAGGCGCCACCTGAAATACTAATTTTCTCCTATTTAGCTGTTCCTGCCGGCCACGAGCGCTGCGGCCTGCGGTGCCCGGCACTGGGGGTGTTGCTCGGCTGTGCAGTTCAGCATTAATTCCTCAGCCTTTCGCTCGGTGTGCTGGCTTTTGTCCTCTGCCACAAGCCAGGCCGCTGCTGTTGAGCTTTGTGAATGCAGATTGAACTAATGGCTTATTTGTGATGTTTCTCCTGTCCTCTCTTTAGGCCTTCAGCCGATGACCGATGGCGGTGACCCACCCGAAGGAGCCCCCTGAGGTGCCCCGGCCCCGTTGCATGTGGAACCCCGAGCTGAGCTGTGCTGGGACAGCCGGGGAGGCGCTCCGGGAGGGCACTGGAACCTGCGAGAGCAGATGTGAAGGGATAACCTGCCCGTGGGACACAGCAAGAGCTCTGGAGCCACGTGGGTGAGGTGTGACCAGGTGAGCCAGCCAGGGGAAATAGGCAAAAATGTTTTGCTGTCTTAGAATTAAAAGGTCTCTGCTGGCTCTTATGCTAGCCTCAGGTCCTCTGAGTGGAAATAACGTGGTTGATCCAGAAATAAGTTTAGCTTATCTATTCCTCTTGCTGGATGAAGCCTTGATGAGAGTAGGCATCATCAGAAAAGTGCCTCCACGTTTTTTCTGCCCTGTAAACCCCCCAGTTTTGGGGTTTTTGTCTCCCAGCAGTAGTCAGCTGCCCGTGGCTGCTCAGTGCCTGTGCCAGTGTTATGCTGCTGGGAGAGAAAGGTGCTGCTGAGCTTTCCTGGCACCAGCGAGGCCGTCCTGGTGCTCAGTGGTGCCAGGTTTTGGCAGCACTCTGCATGCCTGAGAGTGGAGTAACTCCTGCCCGTGGAGTTAAAGCCTAGATTGGATGCAGACAACACACAGAAAATTAAAAAATTCTGTTGCAGATATTTTAATGTGCATCTTTCATATAAAAATGAATGTCAGTTAATTGACTGGTCAGTACTAAGGGTTGAGTAGGAGTCCTCTTTTCAACTTTCTTTATTGGGTTTTTATTACAGGTAAATTGTTGGTGTGGGGCTTCCTGGAGCAGCAGGAGTGGTCAGAAGTGAAGTTGTCAATGCTGCTTTGAAGATCCTTGTTTGAAAGGTGAAGATGGAAACCTGGAGCCCACAGTTTAAACAGGGCAGCTGGAGAATTTGTTTTCAGAATGTGGATGTAGGAATTAAAAACATCAAAGGTGGTTTGGGGCAAGATATAACAAGAATTATGTGTACAATTTATTGTTAATCTCCTCTCATTGCTTGTTGGAAATACATTTTTACATGACCTCAATTAAACATATTTATATTTAAGCTTGCTCAGTTTGCTTTTCATTATCTTACAAGGCTGTTGGGTGCAGCAGGATTTTACAATGGAGACTGGAGAGGCTGTAGTGAGGCACCAGCTCTCATCCCTAGGCCTGGGGGGAAGTGAGCCCACAAAGGAATGTTGAAAAAAGCTGATGAATATGTAAAATACATCAGAACTGGTGGGGAGGAGCAAGATGACCAACGGGGCTTCAGACAAAAATGGTATTTAAATGCAAAAGTTGGAACAAAAGGAGTGTTTTGCTCTCCAGATGAGAGTTGGATCCCTTTGAGTTCCTCGCAGTCTTCTAGGAAACCCTGGGTTTGTGAAATAATCCAGACTCCTTAAATGTCCCTGACACTGTTAGTTTAGCCATGAGCCCTTCTGTCAGCTGAAGATCCAGAGCTTTGAATGGACAGTTTTTGTACTGCTCATGGGAATACTTGTTAAAATACTAACCATTGGGAAATAAAGGTTTTTCCTGGTTCAAGCCTGAGTTCTATTGTTTCTGTAAGAACAAATCCTACCTGCAAAACTAATCAGGGGTTTCCACATGGATTTATGTTGTGCCCAGCAATTTTGCAATTTTCGTCTTTCCTAGAGCTGGGCACCTGCTGTCCTTACAATGGGGGGTCCTGCCTACTGGCAGCCAAGGAACACTGACTGTCAGGGCTCTGCTGCTGGAACAGGTATTCCTAAAAGTGGCAAAAAATGGGGAATATGGGCTCTTCCCAATATCCCATCCATCCCTGCCCTCTGGCAGTGGGAGCCATTCCCTGTGTCCTGTCCCTCCATCCCTTGTCAATTGTCTCTCTCCAGGTTTCCTGGGGCTCCTTCAGGCCCTGCAAGGCCGCCCTGAGCTCCCCCCAAAGCTTCTCCTGTGCAGGTGAACAATGGCAGCTGTGCCAGCCTTTCCTGCCAGCAGAGCTGCTCCATCCCTGGGATCATCCTGGAGCCTCCTCTGGCCTGGCCCCAGCAGCTCCAGCTCCTGCCTGTGCTGGGGCAGCTCTGCAGGTGGGGTCTCTGAGCACAGGGGCACAGGTGAGGCCTCAGGTTTCAGCTTTTATATGTTTCAGATTCTATTCTGCTTTAGTGTGAAGTCTGGGCTTCATATTATGGGATGGTGAGCTCTCTGCACAGAGCAGGGAGACAAAACAATTCCTGCTCTAGCTGAGGACCAAGAACAAATGATCCAAATCTCAGGCCCAAGAGCATAAACGCTGTGGGCTGGAGAGAGAAAAACAAGAAGGATGGGACTGCATGGGCTGGAGCTGTAATTGGGCAATTAGCTCCAATATTCAAATGGACCAAAACTTGTAAGAGTGTGACACCCCCTGACCTGTTGTCCATTTTGTGCCCATTTTGGGTTGTGCTGCCCAAGGTGGATCTATTTGAGGCCTCCTAATAAATCCCTGCTTTATTCTTTAGCTCAGTCTGGTCTCTGTTCTGGGTCAGCCTTCACCAGGCATCACAGGGACAGAATCCCCCCTGCCCTGCTGCGCACACTGGGGCTCAGCCCAGGGCATGGGGTGGGGTTGTGGGGCATGTCCAGCTTCCAGCTTTGTGCAAAACTGGGAAATAAAAATTAGGGATGTCCTGAAGGTTCTCCAGTGGTCAGCACAGGGTCTGGAGCTCGGGGTGTCCCCTCTGCAGGAAGGGGACAGTGAGCACCGTGCAGCTCCTTCTGCAGCACACAGCTGAGCAGTAAAGGTCAGAATGAGTCACCTTGGACCTGCTCTGGTGCCCCGAGTGCAGGACAGCAAAGGGAATTGGCAGAGAACCCATGAGGTCCAAAACTGGCAGTGAAATAAAGCCAGGAAAGGGAGCAGGACCTGCATTCGTTCTTGTGAAATGACAACGTGATTTATGGTTCTGTTCAGGAGAACCATACATTTTGCAATCCATATATGACTTCTGCTAGGGAAAAGTGGCTGGATTGCTTTACATTTGCTCTGCTTTTACTGCTCTGCAGCACCACAGCACAGGAAGATTGTTAACTGAGATTTATGGGCTTGTTTTTGAGCACTTCATTGTTTTTTTACCTTGAGCTTGTTAAGAGCTGGATTTCTTGTAATTGTTCTCTGAGCATTTCCATGTTATTTCAACACATATATTGTACCATTTCCATTTTTTAAAAATACCTTGTGTTGTTGTTTCATTGTGCTCTCCGGCCACTTACAGAGAAGAAAAATCAGCCTGTGACGAATTGAAGAGGCAGATTTTTCCTTTCCCCTGGAGCTTTCCCTGAATTCACGTACACACCCTCACCTTCCTAAAGCTGCTGGAGCACAGCAGTTTCCAGGCTAATGGAGAGACCGGTTCTTTGGCCACAAAATTAAATAGGGAGAAAGATGTTGAATTTGGAATTACTACGGACTAAATCCAAATTACGAATAGTACTTCAGGGGTTGTACGAGTACTTTGGTGACAGCTCACGGGTTTCAGGAGGGCAGCGGCACAGGGACCTCTCCTCATCCAGCACAAGGTGGCAATGTTGGATCAGAGGAACAGCACAGCCTTGCACATCGGCTGCAGGGCCTTTTTACCAGAACCTTCTAACGGCCTCACAGCCAGCGAGAAGCCAGAGTTTTGAATATTTTAGCGATGGTGACACCTGCGTTGTGCTGAGGAGAGCGGCCTCGGGCAGGGCGGGGCCGGCTGCCCGTGAGCGTGCCCTGGGACACAGAGAACAGCGTGGGGACCAGAGGATACTGTGGATATCCCGGACACCGTGGATACCCCGGACGCCCCGGATACCCCGGGCACAGCCCGCGGCGGCGGTGCCGGCGGTGCCACTCCCCGGAAGCGGCTGAGGGGAGCCGCGAACCCGCGGTCCCGGGCCCCGCGCTCCTCCCGGGAGGCGTGGCCACCGTCCCGCTCCGCCCCCCGCGCTTTCCCATGTTGCCCCGCGGGAGCGCGGACAATGAGCGGGGCGCGGGCGGCGGGCTGGCGGCGCGCGGTGCAGCGGCGCTCTCGCGAGAGCACGGTGAGCGGCCCCCACCTCTCGCGAGAGCCCTACCGGCTGCGCCTCCTCCCCGTCCCCATCCCACACCCCACATCCCTCACGGCGGGCGGGGCGGGCGGTCCCGGCCAGCGGCGGGAGCGGCGCGGACTCACAGGCGACACCGGAGCCGAGCGGGGCGGCCGCCGCCGGGCACGTGAGCAGGCGGGCAGCGGGCGGGCGTGCTCTCGCGAGCGCGGCGAGGCGCGCGCGGGGCTCGCGCAGCCGCCTCAGTCCCTCTGTCCTTCCCTCAGTCCCGCCGTCCGTCCGTCCGTCCCCTTTCCCCCGGCGCCGCGCCGAGCGGGAGGCGCCGCCGCCGCCGCGTTGCGTCCCCGCCGGCCCGCAGGTAGGAGCGGCGCCGCGCCCCCGGCCCGCCGCCATCTCGGGGTCGTGCGGCGGCCGCCCCGCCGTGAGGGGTGGGGGGCGAGGCGGGAGCGCGCGGCGGGGGGGGCGCGGGCCGGCGCGCGGCGGTCACGCGCAGGCCCGGCCCGGCCGGTGCCGCGGCCCCCGGGGCGCCCCCGCCCGCCTCCAGCCGGAACTGCGGCCGCGCCGGGCCCGAACAAAGCCCCGACCCCCCCGCCGCCGCCCCCCGGGCCCGGGAACTGCGGCTCCCGCTCGGGCCCTCGGCCCTGCAGCCGTGACCCGGCCCCGCTGCCCGGAGCTCTGCCCTGCTCCCTGCCCGCTCCAGCCGCGGCCTCGCTGCCGGCCCTGTTCCTCCCTCCTTCCTTAACCTCTAAAGGCCGTTCGAGCCTAAAACCGCTGGTTTTGATGTCCATCTGGCCTTAAGAATTAATGAATTGAGCAACAAGAATCCTGTCAGTGCAGGCAGCCGTTTGACCCCTCTTTCTACTCAGTTTCACTTTCATATAATTCAGGCTGTGCTTACAAATCAAGCTGCGGGGGTGTTTTTTTTTTCTTCCTGTGGTGGATTGATAACGTTCCGTTTCTCTAATGTACACACTCTGCTTCCAGAGTCAGAGTAATGAGATACAAAGTTCACCTATTCTGAAAACATCCAGAAGTTGAAAAGAACTTTCTGGGAGCCTGAGAAACTGCTTTGTTAAATGATAAATGAGCCATTTACGCTGTTGAAAGAAAGCTGAACCATCCCTCAGATTCCAAATGTGTGGCTGTTTTTCTTTCCACGATGCAGACCTTTGGGAAAAAAGTATCTAATAGTGGTTCAAACCGCTGAACGATCTTTATTCTTTTTACTCAGCCTTAAATTCTTCAGGTTTTTTGAACTGTAGGTGGTCCTGATTTCCTGGAGTCAGATAAGTAGGGAGCAGCTCTGGTCGAAAATGTAAGTTTCTTAAAGCAGTCTGTGTAGTTTTCATGGGGAGAAGAAAAGGGTGCATTTTCAGGAGCTTCTTTACAAAGAATCTATTGATCCAGTGATTTAATCTTCTCATATTTGAAACGTTAATATTTCAAGTTTTCAATGTGCTAAAATGGTAAATTTTTTTTATAACGTGTAGTGGAACACACTAAGGTTTTTATTGTATTCCCGCAAAATTAGTGAACTTCTGTCTTGAATTTTATCAAAAAAACTTCCCAAAATGATTCATTACTGAATTCTGAGTGAGGATACTGGCACTCAGACCTTGGATGTGTTTGTGAAGTGCTAAGTCAGTGTTTGTACTTCTGCATTGTGCACTTGGTGTTACATACATCCTGGAACTAAGTGATGGGAAAAGAACCCCAGAGAAATTCCTAAATGTGTCCTTAAAATGTGGATATCCATGTTCCAAAAGATAAAAACTGAAAATCAGTTCAAGATGGGGGAAGAAGAGTCAGTGTTTGGGGCTCCAGACTGAAGTTTTGTATAGCTGTTATATTATAACCATTGGTTTACTCAGGAATAAACTGGACTTAAATAAAAACACTCATGAATTGGGTGAGAAATTAGGAAAAGCTGTGTGCTGCCCTTTGCTGTGATTGCACATGTCTCTGCTGAGAGATTTGGTGAATACAAAGGTATTTTATAATGTAATACTCAGCAGG